TATATATATATATATATATATATATATATATATATATATATATATATATATATATATATAATTAAATCAGTCATATAGATTTGTGAATGTACAATATAGGTGTAAAACTTGGGCACTGTGATAAAATGTAATTCCATATTAGATTTGTTTATTTGATATATAGCTCACAGTGATACAGTATTATTGACTTGATTACGTTTCGAGCATAAATTATTACTCATAATCATATCAGTGTGAATGTACATTTGGTCTTTAATAGCATACATTATAGACAGATTGATGGGATAGCTATTGGTTCACCATTTGGCCGTGTTTTAGCCGATATATTTCTTGTCAAACTGGAGAACGGAGCATTAAAAGATGTCATTAATGAAGTGAATATGTATTACCCTTATATTGACGACTCATTCACTATCCTAAATCAGAAAGTGGATAGAAAGATTACACAAGATACAACCTTCATTCACTTTTACTTGTGAAGAAGAAAATGTAGGTAAACTACACATTTTAGATGTCTTGCTAAGCAGAAGAGACTATGGTTCACTCAGTAGATGTGTTTACACGAACACCTTATCTGTAGGTCAATACACACATTTTCTCAGCCACACACCTTTCCGAGAAGGATATGTTCGGGTGATTTAATACCCAAGGAGTTAAAATTTATTCGTAACTCACTGGTCGAAATGGGCTATCCTAACACATGAACACATCTAGGGGAAATAAACCTGGGATTATCACCATACAAAAGAAACCGTTGTTCATAAAATTACAATTTAATGGAGATGTAATCAGAAAAGTTTTGTATTAGAAGTTTTCTAGAAGTATTAAGAGGGCTTTCTATGCTGCGCACCTGCGTCTATCATTTTCCAGGGGACCAATTTTTATTGCTCAAATCAAAGATAAGTTATCTAGTTTTCCCATTTCTACGTGTAGATACAAGTTTTGCTGCTCCTGTATTATTATTATTAGTAGTAGTAGTATTGTTACTATTATTATTTGTCCCTTGGTTTCCTAGTGGGACGTAGGGCTTCAGTAGCACGTCGACATTTCACTCTCTTCTCTTCAGTCTTCTTAACCTGGCTCCACGACTGCTCGTAAGCTTTCGTTTCTCCCTCACCCCATCTCCTCCATGTCGTCACCCTCGTGCGCCCAACTCATCGTTTCCCCTTTGGGTTCCACTCGAGGGCCTGGCGCGTGATGTCCTGGAATGGTCTTCTCAGTGAATGTCCATTCCAATCTATCTCCACTTTCTTCTGCATATTTGTTGGGCGATGGGTTATTGGTTGGTTTGTTTCCAGAATTCTTTGTGGAGAAAGGTATATAGGGCGTACTGCTAGACAACTTAACAAACGTGTTGCTGAGCATCTACAATCATGGTTGGGAAGGGGGCAGGATAAAATCCATCCGATGTTCGCTTTTATCTCATCTCGTTGATAGTGATAACTTGGTAGATAATAACAATGCCTTCACGATTGTTCACTGCGTGCATACCACCTCATCTTTCGAAAGGTATTCGAACTCGTCTTTTACACATAGTAGAAGCTGTGGGAATTCGAGCTAATAATCCTAGTCTTTGTATCCATATGAAGTTTTTACATCCCTTATCCCTCCCTTGGCCAGAGAATACTTAATGAACAACTTTATGTATTATAAGTATATTTTAATGAAAAGTTTACAGTTTTTATTTTCCATTAAAAAATTACACTACGCCATTCCACACTGCACAAACTTTTCATTCATATATTTAAGCAACTTTATCATTGAAATCTTCCTATCTCTTTCTTATTCTGCACCCTTTTCGTATACTTACTATATATATTTTAACTTTGTTCATCTACTTACTTCGTCTTTCGATACCACGTGACGTCAGTTTTTTCGAACTTTTGACCCATTTTAATTATCAGAGCGTTTACATTTTCACGCTGTTTTCTTCATTCTTATTATCATTATCGTATATATTACAACTGCTTTAGTCAACGCTGCCAGCCTTAACATTTCTATTACGTATGTGATTATCACCATCGTTATTTTAAAATGCTTATCACACCAACCGACAAATCTGCACGACTGATTTGATTATGATAATTTGCTTGCTTGTGGCTAGCAGAAGAACCCAGGACGCACGTTTCGTCCTATTTGGAACTCGTCAGCTGGATGTAACTGCACCCGAGTGAAATAATGTTCCCACTGAGACTCGTACCCACCGCTTGAAAAAACATCAAGGCATTATCCACTATGCCACGGAGGCACAATAGCCACTTCTTGTACAACAGGTATTAGTTATTACTGCTTATTGGTATACTTGTAATTCTCCGTTGTTTTATTGGGTCGAATTGTTCGACCTCCATAGGCATATGGGCTCCTATGAGAATGCCTCGATATTACCTGAATGTTAATTATGATAATTTGTTTAGTTGTGGCCAGTGAAAGAATTCAGGACGCGCGTTTCGTCCTATCTGGGACTCGTCACTTACAGACTTTTCGTTTTTATAGCCATCCATAATTATCAGTATCCAAATCTCATAACAGCTAAATTCAGCTATTCATGACTAATTTGTGTCATATATTTTTAGATGGCATTTTTTTGTGACTAACTGGCTTAGACTGTAAGTTGCGGGTTTGAAACCGGCTTCATATACTAAGTTTTAGGTAGTCGGGTAGCAGTATAATTAATCCTGACATGACGCATGTGACACACTGAATTGTGTACATACCTGTGTGTGGTTGATGAACTGCTTTGTTGTATTTCCTATCAATTAGATTAGTAACGTAGGCGCTTATACCGATTGTCTAAAAGTACGTCTGCCTAATTCTTGTCGATAGCGTTTTCCAATGTATTGATGTCTTCACACTCTTACTGAGTGAACTTATGACGATATTTGTCTAAATATTTCTAAATATTCGGATAACATCCTTTCTTTGAAAGTTAACTGAAGTATGCAGGAAAATATCCATCTAATTATGCAAAATAGAATTTTTATTTAGAAATGGAATATGAATTCGTTTTATACACTAAAATGATGGCTAAATAACCATTGAAAAACAGGGAAATACTGAGTAGCTCATACTCCTAGACTTGATCCGTGTAACCTGATTGATAGCTGCTACTTTGACTTGATGGTCGGATTCACATATCACAGTGACCCAACGAGCTGTGTTGTTGGGAACACTTGTTCCTTAAGGTCATGCCATTCCAGAAAGCCTGTTGGATAGTGGTACGACAGAAAGCAGTTACCCTTATAGTGTAATTAGCTACTTTATTTTGGGGGTCCGAAAGCTAGGTCGTACTGTTGGCTGGATAGGTGTATGATACAGTACTAGTGTTCCACGTGGACGAATAGCAATCCATGTCGACATCTTTCCAGTGGATCTCAGCAGCTTCTGAAATAACAGGTGCACGTGAACGCAATCTCTCAGGCTCCGATCTCAATAGAAAGTGGAACTCAGTCAAATATAGACTTACAAAGAGTCTATGCAATGATCATCAGAATTGATGGACAGTGGAGGGTGAAGAGACGGAGAAGGTAACGACTGTAAGTAACAGTCGAAAGTTATTTTGTCTAATCAAGTAAACTGGGACAAAAAGATCAATGGGTAACGAAACTACAGTGGAGAAGGAGGGGTCTGCTATTCACTCGTAAAGGAGACTGCTAGCGCGATGGGTAAAAACACTGGTCTCAAGTAATTTCTCGATTGCCTGCTGTTCAGTCGGATCATGGATAGAATACTGAGACAAGTCCCCCAACTCTTTCATAAGTTGAGATAGCGGTAAAAAACAGGAAACGAAAAAAAGTGCCAGGCTCAAGCGGACTAGTACCAGAGGTATTCAAGTTCAGTAATTAAGGATTATTAGTTAGATTAACTGCAGTGTTATCTATCATACAGGAATGAGATGTGATCTCTGACTGGTCTCATCCACTGATTGTCCCAACCTTTTAAATTGGTGGGAGGTCTCTTTCTCAATCCAAGAGGAATCAATCTGCTGGAAATAGTGTCTGACATTCCAGGTACCATAATTATAAGACGCCTGAGTGAACCTGAGGAACGGCAAACTCGAGAAAAACAAGCAGGTTTCAGATCTGTTTATGAGTGCATCGACTAGATACTCACCTGCCGTCAGGTTCTAAATCACAGGCAAAATTACTGACGCCCAACACTATCTCTATTTCTTGACCTAAAGGTGGCATTTAACTGTATGTTTCGGGAAGTATCTCTTACTGAAAAAGGTGTCGAACGGTTGCACAATGATACATGACCTCATGATGATGTTAATTGAATGAGTGATGTAAATCATGTGTATGCTTACTACTGAGGATGACGAAACAGGTACCAGGTGCTTTCTGTTTTTCAATGTCTCTCTAGCTGATTTCAATCCCTAAGAAAAGGCACTTTGAAATTAGTCGCCTCACAAACCAGTCAACTGAGTAAGATTGATATTATTCGACTACAAGTAATGAAATATCACGTTTTCCAATAACAGGTATTTACATTGTTTCTGTGGAGATGTGCTCAAATTCTTCATCATCTATGCCCCAAAGATAATAAGTTTTTAGTTTCATGTTTGGATGTAGTCTTGTCATGAACGTAATTGATAGAGTGTTATGATGTTTGTATGACTCCCAATGTCTTTATGTTCCATTAAAACTTTTCTATATATAATCTTGGGTATATGGCTCATTGGCTTCAATATTCATCTTTTAATAAAATGGCTTTCGATTTCAAATTCTGCTCTATCAGCTTCGACTTGGGCAACTAGGTATTATCAAAAGCCTTGACACAATTAATCTGGCATTGAGTTACATTTTCTTTTATCAAATGATGAAGAACCACTATATGATGAATAATAAGTATTGTGGTAAGCTGCTTTTCACAATATTTATAAGAGTATATAAAGGACTGTTTTTTATTCACAAGGAACATTCAATAATAAAAGTTTATTAATACGAATCTGACTACAAGATGAATGTTTTGTACTGATCATTTTTGCTTATTTTTATCAGGTTCTGTTGTGAAACCTTGTCCTAATTGTAAAACTCTCATACAAAAGCTGAATGATGGAAGTTGTAATTCCATGGTATGCTCAATTTGTAATTATGAGTTTTGTTGGTTATGCTTACGAGAAACAACAGCTACGCATTATTTGAAGTATGTAAGCAGAAATGTTTGGTCTTATGATATGTATATGCATATAAATCTTTTAATACTTGTTGTCTTGATCAAGATTTTGTTTAGTTTATCTCACACTTTTAGTGTATAATATTCATCTTTATGAAAATCTTTGTTTTCAATCTATAAAGAATAGTTGAAATTATATGGTGTTTGAAAATTGAATATCTGACCCAAAAAAATCATAGTTCCACTCTGATACGCTATGTTAGCTGAAGTCGGCATTTGGTTGGGAAAAAGTTTAGACGTTTCAGACTGAAACGCTACTCCATAGATTCACTAATTGTTGATGTTAGTTATTGAATCAGATTTTGAGTTTTAGTTCGGAGTTCACATGACAACTAAAATTGATAAGTTGAAGACTCTTGATGAGACACGGATAAGAGGCGATCGTAGTGGCCCACATACCTTATCTTTGTCTTAGCTGTTGTATCAAATTTTGTTATTTATTCCGTATTTTGATATACTTGTGTGAGATGCAGAAACTTGAATTTTTTGTTGCGTTGCAACGTGTCATAATATACATACGGTTGTGAAACTTGACTGTTGGAGAAAAAAAAGGTTTGAAGAAGTTACAGGTTTTTGACCACATATAGCTTCAAAACATCGCTCACGTATGTGGGGATCATCACGTGAGCAGTGCCAAAGTTAGACGAATGATAAGTAGGCAAAGCGGACAAGTTAGTCGATGAGATTTTGAACCTTCACCGACTGAGATGACTAGAGAAATGTATTGCGTATGCCATGCTACCACCTACCTCCACATGGAATGTTAGCTGAGATAGGACTTGGTTAGAAGGCTCAGAATAGCCAAACCGAGACACGGCACCAGTTCACAAAGTCTTCGACTGTTGGTCTGAACCGCGTAGGGAGATGTAGACACTGTCTGGTTAGTATCCTTGAGATAACTGGAATCAGAGGCTGTAGACCCTTGGCAACTCCACCGAAAATTGACCAGAATGGCTCACTTAAAAATGCTCTCCTTAATCTATTATTCAGGTAGCTACACTTTTGAAAAAGATTGTTCCATTAAATGTTTATCATATGTGATCAAAATTTTGACTTGGACAACTTCCTTAGAACTTTCAGGGCTGCTAACTCATGTATAACATTCCGTCTGGGGTGTGGAAGAAAATGAGTGTTCCCATTTTTGGATGCGCTACTAACAAAAAGATTGGATAATTCTAGCCGGAGACCAGCGTACAGAAAACCTACGTGGACTTGACAAGTCATCAACTTCCAATGGTACGTCCATCTCAGTGACGAAAGAAACCTTTTGCTTTTGATATTCATCCCGGACTAACATCAGTTGGAGAATGATTGCAAACCTGAAAGCATCGGATGGCTTTTTGTTTTAGTATGGGGCTCCTTAGTAGTGTGCACCCATGACGTCGCCAGAGGTCGAACCCGAGATCTTCAAATTTCTCGACCAGCATGTTACGATTGAGCTACTGGGTTGGAAATCACTATTCCACAGTTCCTACCTCTATCGGTTCACGACATAGCGTGGCACCCATCCAATGCACTCTTCACGTCCGACTTGGTTATCCGCAATAGTCACTACTTCTCATTAGATTTTCGTGAATCTCATCTCAAGGTAATTCATTAATGGACATTTTTGTTATATTCAAGAATTCGAAAGATACACCAGAGAGTAAGTCAAAATTTCTACGTTACATTCTACCAGAAGGCGAATGTTCATATGGATTGATTGACTCTAACATGAAAGGAAAACTGTAAATACAAAAGTTATCGTCTGTTTCAATGAAAATTCTTTGTATGAACCTGGATTTAAAAGACGAAATTGCAGCCAAAATCCTCAAAAATCGCTTCTGAATTGCTTTGAGAAAGACATTTCACACAACTAGTTTGGGAATCACTTTCTTCAGTAGACAAATTGATCCATCGAAGCGTTAAGGAATGAATACCGCTTTTGGTCGCCTAAGTTTTCATCTATCCGTTTTGCTTTTTCTTGTGGAGAAACGAACATGGCGTCAATTCTGAACACCTTTTTTCGAATTTTTGTGGCTACGTTAACCAAAGGAGGAAGAAAGAGTATCGGCATTTTCATTCTTGAACACCCAGTCATCTCCAGGCATCTGACTCCTCCCAATAGCTCTTTCAAAATAATTTGCATATTGCTCCCTTACAATTCAAAAAAACCTCAACTACGTCACATGTTGATAGCTTAATCATTGGCAATTCACAACCTTAAACCTGATCTTTGTGTTTAAGGACAATATATGCATTTGTTAGCGTTACCATGACCAGAGTAATGGCTTCCTTCCATCGTTAGCAGCAACATTTCTTTCTACTGGTCAACATTGTGGTAATCTGGTATATATATATATATATATATTCCACCTTGATGATGAACATATGTAGAATACGGCGGCTTATGCTTGTTTCTATAGCTCTGACATTTTCCGAGCCCTTCTAGAACGGTGTTTTTTTTATTGATATTTATATGTATCTCTTTTTGGAACTTCGGAATACGTTGATTTGCCGTTAAGGGTTTCAGGAATCTTTAGCTTCTCTGAAGGAACTGAACAATCGTATTGGACACCATAACATGACCCTATTGAATAATAATAGATTTGATTGTTTCCAATATTTATAAATACGATTGTACAGCTTTAGTGAACGCGAAATCGTTGAAAAGACATTTTTCTTCGCTGTTATGTCTTTCTATGAGTAAGCGGATTTCAAAAAATTTTCCTTCACGCATTAACATTAGTCAGGAAACACAAGAGCATTAAACAAATAATCTATCCTAGTTTTGTTCTCCTTATCGGCGTGCGCTCACGACCCTTAACGAATCTAATCTTAGGATTATCAAGTCTCATAGAAGGTTCGTTATGACTGCCATTAAATCGAAATTCAGTGATCTGGGTTTTCCAACTTCTGTCAATTTGTGATATAGCGAGACCACCACCCAATGGCGTCAGCGAATGCTTCTTCTCACTTCCAATGAGACTGACCACATGCATCAAGACGTTTCAGTCAAACTTGTGTAAACTGACGCCGACAGTCAAAATCAACGTAAGGTCTCTTACACAAGTGCATTGGTTCAAGTTGCCACACTTCATAGTAGTATGCACAAACTGCAGCGCAGCATACTCTTCAATTGATGAATATTTGAACAATGGAAGAACAAAGACATTTACAAAATAAAATGAGCTCGTTTTATTTCACGGCTTTTCATCAGCTGTAAACAGCCTACAATTGAAATGAAGAGTTAGTAGTAATAGTACCATAACATACATTAAATGTGTAGAAACAAATGAAGATTTGAAACCCAGGATTAACAGTAAAGTAGTGAGTCAAGGAAACGCAGGATTAATAATCACAAGTCTTAGTCAAAATCAGTGGCAAATTATATCTAATGAGATGAAACATTCTGGAGCTGTGAAAGGGGGGAGGGCAAGAAACGAACGGGAGTGTAAGAGAAGGGGCTAGTAGGTTTCGTAATAACGTGGAAAAACTGGAAAATCATCAAGCGACTGACAGTCCGTAAATAACTCATGAAGAGATGATATCTCGCTGGTTGATGGCGTAGATATCGCGAGCTGGCAAATGCTAGACGGGCGTTCTGTATCCGAGCCGAGATCGCGTCAGCAACCAGCCCTTTCGAGCTGATGCGGCTCCCCAAGTCAGTGAAATGGTCGACCCATTCTACCACTTCACTCTTTATCTTTAAACTAGGAGTAGCTACAAACCAACCCTGAAGAATAATTTTATATTTGGTAGGTGTGAAACTAATCCCAAATATACTAGGATTTCTGCTCAAAGAGTTCAGAAAACCCTACATTTTGTCCGTATCTTCAAGCAGCAGGACACCATCGTCTCCGTACTCCAAGTCAACCAGATGACCTCCAGGGAGTAGGTTAGCCCCTGCGAAGTCAGACGTACCTAAGGTTGTGTCCATTAGTACACCTATAACGAAATTGAACAGGAACAGTGACAGTAGGCATCTCTCCCGGACAATACTAGTTGTCATCAGTTCTGATGACAACCCACCGTTAAGTCTTTACTCATCTACATGAGTTTGAATAGAAAGCCTTAATAGGCGTTATATACTTGCTCGGTACTGCCTTCACAGTCAGACACTGCCACAACAGCTCATGGTCCACGGAGTTAAATACGGCCTTGAATTAGAGAAATATGGCAAGTGTCGGCCATGAAGCGGTAAGTATGATTGTGTTGCAGGACCTGTCGGAGGGTGAAAATTTAATCGACGCACCCTTGTCCAGGTCTGAAACCTGCCTGGTTTTCTCGAGTTCGCTCTTTTTGAGCTCCACTTCGGCGTCGGATAACCACGAATGCAAGAATCTCGGACACGATATTAGCCAGACTGGTCCTCCTATGGTTATCACAAGAAGACTTCCCTCCTTTCTTATGGACTGGAGTGATGAGTGAAATAAACCAGCTTGGCGGCTTTGGTTAACTTGGAGCGAAATTAACGTCTCAGAAGACGAACGAAACATACACTGATTACGTAGCTACAGTTCATTCAGGTTAGAGTTACTGATCATCGAATTACCTCTCGATGTATCTGTGTGATAGGACTTATCTCTAAACTCAATTAAATCAGCTTTTGATTTTCACACACTTATTTTGTGACCCAATTACACTTATAATTCTATGATAAATTCCGTTACAAAATACTGATTTTTCCATACGACTTACTACTATTAATGGTTATCATAAGTTTTGCATGCGTCAGTAATAATTGTTGTGATGAAAGCTTCGTTTTGTATACTTCATAGTGTATGGAAATTTTCTCATAAGATAAAAAACTGCACCAGTTTAGTGTCATTTTATAAATCCTGTCGTAAGTCGTAGTTATCTACAGAACTATATTATACTATCTGTTTTTTGCTCACTGTCAGTTTTTCCGGATGTACTGTATTGGGTCGCAGTCGATGGTCTAAACTCCGTCGTGTTGTAGCGGTTTGTGGCATAATGCTAGGTACACCGATTCTACTTCCACTCACAATAATCCTCGCACTTCCAGCCATATCATTTGGGTTCACTGTTTCAATAGCTAAACAGGTAAATTTTAATTTTTCTTCCTTTAAATACAGCTTATCCACAATTAAGTGATCAATCCTTTAGTGTATTCTAAAATAGACAATTTACGCAGTAGTTCACTCTTTTTGATGTGACTTATTTATAAATAACCATCTATTCTCCTGGCACATCATACATTTCATTATAAAGTCAAATGGAAAAGTTGCAAGTCTTGTGAAGTTATGGTTCATCAGTCTACACCATCGACTTCCAACTAGCCAGTCACGGATTAAAAACCCACTCCACCTACCAAGATTCGACAGTCAGACAGTACCATCGAACCTCATAAAGCAGGTGTATCTCACTGCCTATAGTAATACTTTTTGTATTCAACTGGTTAATAATAGTTTACAGGTAATATTGAAGCATCCAGATTCCCAGTTTGTTTTGTGTGTCTCCCTTCATGTATGCTTGCCGAGACAAGTGTATCCAAGGGTTTCATGCCGACTGCATCCAACCAACCAACTAGCTTGGTGACCATATTGAGAATTGACCGATAGAATTGTGTCAGCAATCAGAACCAAGCAACATGGAATTGGTTGTTCCCTAGTGACCTATTAATTAATTAAAGTTTCTCAGAATTTGAACAACCTTGCATACGTGTACACAAGGCTCATTATGGTTTTATATATTTCGAGGTATCTGGTGAGAAGTAGTTGCTTCGAGTTTCATTGCTAGAGGCGCGTTTCCTGAAGTTTGTATACTCGAGGGTACAATAGTTTCCTCGGAGTTGCATGTTCACAATATTAGTGAGTTTCGGAAAGTGAATCCTCTACCTTTGTGCTTTTATGCCTCTTAATTCCTAACATTGAATGCTGGAAACAATGTTTAAAATTCTGGTCTTTTCGACCAAATGAACTCTCTTATCTGACTTCATTTCCCAATGTGGCATTAAGTGGTAGTGGGTCAAATCTATGTTCTTGTAGTAGATTCCACTGTGACTAGTAGAAGAGCATCCGTCAAAGGTAGTCACTATGAGGTACTTACTCTAGGTGACTGTTTACAATTGGGTTGTCAGCCTTCTTTTGTCATGACATCGAGTGTCACTTTATCAGGCGTGTTGTGTAATAGATATTGTCTCGACACTACTGTCACAGATCTTTCATGATGCCAAGATTCCGAAGTGTAAAAACAAGTACATTCTCATAATACATTTTACTTTCATTCATTTGGATCAGTGACGGTCTATTGCTGAGAACGACTCAGCTAACTTGCTACAAATGACTACGTTTTAAGAAGGGATGGATAATATTCATCAAGAGTTCTATTGATGCATTGTCGCTGTTACCCTGTCATATAGCGGTGAATAACGTTTTGGACACTGTTCATAATCACACCATATGAAACACGGAACCTGAGACTTGGCACAGTAAATAACTGTTTCAGTATGCGATGTGTCGTATAAAGATGTTAAAATGAAGGCGACATTGGTTGTAAAAAGTATATCAATCACCAAGTGGACCTAGTGTTACTTAGCTGGTGTAGTTTGTCATGCAGCTTAAACCATTGAAGTTTCTTTGTAACATCCGGTTCTTCTGGCCACTTAGTTTAAATCGACGATCAAGAACAATGCGTTTTGTAACATATCTTTCTAGAGCCGTAGTTTATCCGGGTTTCTTTCCGAGAACCTCACTTTACTTTCTAGGTATCTTTTTATGTTATTGGTCAGCACACCGTCTACCTCACATACTATTTCACCGACACTGCGGTCCTTGCTATCAGTAGCTTGAACTATCTGGAAGGGTCTCTGACTATTGCCAAACTCAGCTGCCGCTTCCATCTCACTTGCCTCAATCATTACGTGAGTGCTCCATTATTTCCGCATTAGGGGCTCACTGGTTGTACGACTTGCCGATGCGTGATAAAATCCCAGTAACCTTAGGTTGTTGTTTGTTGTTCCTTAGTCAAATGTCTTTCGAGGCTGCAGGTAGCTTTACTGACTACTCTCATGGCGTGATGTTTGTGCAGCCAAACATCATCTACACTTCCTGATGATGCAACACCTAGCTTTAAATCTAGTTGCAATTGATACTTTGTCAAAACGGTCATTGGAACCAAATTAGCTAACATCAACTAGTTTAGATCGATCTCGATAGAAATGTATGGTAAACTTGGCACATGCTAAAACATGATCAAAATTCAACGGGTGCCCCAAACATAAGTGTGCTCGCTGCCATATTATCATACCTAAAACGTTTTCTACATTTTCCGTAGTTGATTCTAACCATTTTTATGCGTGTTAATTTCTATATATTTTGTAGATTAATCAGATGTTACTCTCAAAATCGAAACATTTACGACGATTTGTTGTATTCTGGGTTATTGTTGCTAGTCTCATTTCATCCTCAGTATTGACAGGTGAGTGTAACCTTCATTACTTTCGACCTTTTATGTCAATTTTGATCCGAGATTTTGACTCAAGTAAAGACTGAAAAATAAACTTGGGTTTCTAGATCGAAATTTACTAACCTTTGAAGTCATTTTCTATCGATCTGAGCCTCTTCAAAGAAATGTATATCATTTGTGGTTCGGTTTTAAAAACTTATGTAATGTAGAAAGTGATAATCTCAAACGGCATAGCTCAAATCAGTTGACTTGCAGATGAATTTACTCTGAATCCTGGGGTTTTCAGTATTTTTCTTGTTGGTTTCCTACTGTGCTTTTTCGAAATATGGTTGCTGAGACCGAGTAAAATGCTGTATCCAGTCAGAAAAAAGAGCTAACAATAACCACAACATATAGAACTACTATAATTTATCAGTTTAATCAGAGATCGACATAAATACTTGTCAGGTTTTTACTGTTTCTATCGCGGTTATTATACTTTTGAAATAAGTATTTGTCTAACAAATGTCACTTACGAATGAAGCATAAAAGTGCTGGAAAGAATACAAGTGAAATTAGCATGTACTCAACTTTAATGATAGATAGTGGTTAGCAGTGGGATCCAGGATGCACGTTTCATCCTATTTGGGACTCGTCAGCTGGATATGTGCCTGCCTCCCAATGACCGATGGTGTTCCCACTAGGACTTTCTTTTCAAAATTTGTCCTAATAGAAATATAGTGTACCCCTGTTCCACTACACTACCACAAAAACTATTGTACAAATAGCAAAAGAGGAAACTAGACATTTGATACGGATTTTTTTATGAGCATAACGACAAGTCTATCCAAGTTGTTTGATTATATAAAAAGTGGCACACCGAAATAGTACATATACATCATTTTGGTGTTCGGATTATTACTTTTGGTATATCTGATATCCCTTTCAGTAAACCACCATTCATGCTACGTACGTTCAGTAAAGAAGTCTATTTGAGGTATATTTATTATTTATTTGTCCCTTGGGTTCCTAGTGGAACATAGGGCTTCAGTAGCACGTCGACATTTCACTCTCTTCTCTTCAGTCTTCTTAACCTGGCTCCACGACTGCTCGTAAGCTTTCATTTCTTCCTCACCCCATCTCCTCCATGTCGTCACCCTCGTACGCCCAACTCATCGTTTCCCCTTTGGTTTCCACTCGAGGGCCTGGCGCGTGATGTCCTGGAATGGTCTTCTCAGTGAATGTCCATTCCAATCTATCTCCACTTTCTTCTGCATATTTGTTGGGCGATGGGTTATTGGTTGGTTCGTTGCCAGCCAGCCAGAGTTACTTGTTCCCTATTCTTTCTGGCCTTCTGATTTTCAGTATCGAGGGTAGACAGCTGTTAACGAATGTCTAGTTTGTTGGAAATACTTTTTGTAACGCGCCAAGTCTCTCAACCATCATACAGAAGCACTGACTTGACTGGCATTAATGTTGAAAATCCGGATCTTGTTCTTCATGTTGAGTGCAATAGATCTCCACACTGGTTTCAGACTAATGAAGGCCTGTCTTGCTTTCCCGATCCTGGTTTTGACATCCTCATCTATGCCACCTGTAGTTGAAACGATGCTGCCCAAGTAAGTGAAAGAGGCTACTTCCTTTAGGTTTCTCCCGTTGATGATGATCGGTGCTTGTTGTTGGTGGTGGTTGGGTATCTTCATCACCTCTGTCTTCCCTACGTTCACCTGAAGGAAGTGCCGTCTTTGCTGCCTTGCCTCTCCTTCCAACTTGTTGGCTGTTGCCCGTAGATCTTCGAGTTTGTAGACATTAGACATTAATCATCGTCGGCGAAATCCAAATCTTCTAAAGTCTTTTCGTCGGTCAAACAGCGTACGCCCATCTTCTCGCCCCTCACGGTTTGCTGCATGATCCAGTCCATCACAATCAGGAAGATCATCGGTGATTGTAGGCAGCATTGTCTTACTCCGGACTTCACTTCAAAGGCATCACTGAGCTTTACATTGTGAATCATTCGGCATGTAGCGTCTTCACATAGCTATTGAATGAGGTTGATAAAGGTTTGTGGCATAAAACCGTAGTGTTGAAGCAGCTGTCTGCCAAATTACTTCTCGGTCGACGATGTCGAAGGCCTTTGAAAAGTCGATGAAGCTGAGGTAGAGAGAGTTGACTGCCATTCTCTACTCTGTTCTATGATGATGCGTAGCGTAGTGTTGCAATTTGATCCGCACATGATTCGTTCTTCCTGATGCCACCCTGTACCGGTCGTAATTTTGAATCCAGTGCATATTTCGGTCTCTCCAGGATGACATGGCTTAATATTTTGCTTGGTATGGACAGCGGTGGGGCGTGATCCCGCGCCAGTTCTTGCAAAGACTTAGGCCTCCCTTCTTTGGGAGTTTGATAAGATAGCCCTTCTTCCAATCGATCAACAGGTACATTTCCTTCCTTCCAAACCTTCTGCAATATTGGTGTGAGCGTGTCCAGTACTGTCTCTACCTGTTTTCAGTGCTCCTGGCGGAATTCCATCTGGTTCTGCTGCTTTCCCGCATTTCAGCAGCTGTATGGCGTTCAGGACTTCACTTCGGCTTTTGTCGGAAGGCTTGTGTCCACTGGTAGTTTTGTAGCTGGGCTGCTGGTGGTATTTCTGGCCGAGTTGCAGGTGGTGGTCGACTCAAGAGTTTTCTGAAGTGGTCAGCCCATTGTTCCCTTTGTTTCTCCTCTTTGGTAACTTGGTTTCCTTCACTATCTTTCACTGGTTCCATCTGCGTTAATCTCTTCCCAGATAGTATTTTGGTTATCTGATGTAGTGTTGTCAGGTCTCTGTTTCTCCTTCCTGCAGCCTGTTCTGCTTTACTTGGAAGTGTGTCGTGTAATTGTCTTTCGTCTTTGTGCGCACTCTTCTTTGTCCACTTGAACTACAATATAGAATTCCAGTGATTAAAATTTCATTGCATCATACGCTGGCTAGTTTTCAAAAGTTTTTCCTACTTCAGAATGTAATGTACTTAACAATCGAAAGGTGTGATAGTTCTCGTTTCGAGAAATAGAGGGGCGAATGGTGTGTATACCGTTAGACTGTGAGCTAGGAAAAGGTAAATCAATGTTGTTTACTGGTTGCTAGGAATTTTTTAGACGTTACTATTTTGTGGTATATTAGTCTGGACTTGAATTAGTGCGTTTGATTTCATACGCTTTATTATTCATCTGATTTTATTGTTTCATCCAATTTTCAGCACTCAGTTTCACTCTTCTAATCCCCGTTGTTTTGGGTTACGTGTACTTATATCTCCCAATCAATTTGTTGCGTTCAGTCATACGAGATGAAAATGAAATCGAATCAGAACCTACAGAGCTGGAAAGACTTCAGTCAGTAAGCCCTACTTTTATAAGAGAATTCAAAACAAAAGATGCAGATGATACGAGATTCTCGAATGAAAATCATAGTGAATCGAATACCGTTGTGATGGTAAACGAAACAGTATCGATAGAATGTGATAAGATTTCTTAAGCTTTTCGACAACACGTGTTTACTATTTCAGTCTTTCATATCCTGACTTTTATCGATTCAAAGTGCAACTTCCTCTTGCCTTCACTACAAAATATTCAAATGAGTAAAATTACAAGCCAACTTGTCTGCCAGTTTCTTGATAATATATGAGCAGAAGCTGTGATTTTCTTATTTTCAACAAGTTCACTCCTATTTAGTGTGATCCTTATTTTCAAATTTGTTTTATTTATATGTTCTTACAAATTGTCAATTTTTGGTTAGAAAAAAAGAACATTTATACTGTTGTGACCGTATCTTTCGTATCATGCTCACTTGAATTTATAATAATAGGAAGAGGTGGAATCTAATGTTGGTGAAAGGCATTACACTAATGCAGTAATCAGCTAGTTAAAACAGTTTCTTGGCAAATGCATTTCACCATGTTAGTACAGTTCATAATCAACGAGCTAAAGGACTTCCCCCCCCCCAGGCGTATGGTTCTAACCTTTTAGGAAATTCGATCAGATCCTACCAACGTGTTTGAATTCATTCACATTTTCTAGGTGTTTTTAATTTGCTGTTTAGGATGGGTTAGGTCCGCAGCTCACACCTAAGACAGCACAACCTTAATGTCTTGAAATAGTCATAGCATCACTTGCCTCTCCAACAGAGAATATTCTTCGCTCAGTATCCTTCACATCCATCAAACCACTGGTCACTTCTCTTATAGTGAGCTATCTAGTCGCTTAACTCTAGTCTGTGGGGATCATGAGTTTGAAATGATCTGTTACGTCTTCCACAAACAGCTGACCCATTTCACACTATGTATAGGGTTTCCAGCCAGTAGTGGATAGGACCTGCTTGTTCTCTAAGCAACTGACGAAAACCAAATTTTCGAGACAGCAGGATTTAACTTATTGGTCTTCTGGATGTTCGGTGAACTGTTTAACATATCTGCTTTATTCCGGTTGTGCATCTACTGATCATCTGAATGAAATGATCACCTTTCACTAAGAAACCAAAAGGCTAGTGGAAATGATTGTGTCGATCTTTTTGCTATGCGGGATCATATAGAGAGTCTGGATCAATGATATCCTAGATTACGATTTTGCGGCGGCTAAATCCAGAAACCCGATATTTCTTGGCGGATACCAACCAAAAGTCTGGAATGAAGAAATGATTCTGTCTCATTAATGCAAGTATAGAATTCCAGCATTGATAGAATGTAATTCCATGTTAGAATAGTCTATTTGATATAGAACATAGTGAAGTAGTATTAGTTACTAGATGATATTTCGAGCAGAATTTATTGCTCATAATCAAGGAACTTGATATGAATATGAGCAATAAAATTCTGCTCAAAATATCACCCATTAAATAATACTATATTATTGTATGCTACATCAAATAGACTATTCTAGTATTGACCCCGATTCTGACACACTTTCAAAGGCAATAAGCAAACTGTGAGCCTTGACGCGAAGAAATTGTTGGATACAAGTCTTCTATGTTCTTTAAGTAGTCATTAAAAGTTATCTACCGGACCTCTAACGTACCATTAACTAGTTCGCCACTCACTTCATACCTTGACATTTTCTTTAACCTTAAAAATTCCTAGGAAATCGCACAGATCCTCATTTCTAATCTGACTAGCAAGATGGTACTGCATCGAGTTCACTCGCATGAATGTGTCAAGTTAACCTAGACATTCACTGAGTACCTAAGTTTCAAACCCTGCTCCAACCACTGAGGTTTGAATAGACAAGTGATACTGGCATAATAGGTGTGGTCACAGCGCACCGTACTGTACGCACCTGCGTTAAACAGCTCAATATTTACGCCCAATCATTGTCAGGTGGTTCCCGGGATAATTTTCAATACTTTCATGCTTTTCGTGAGTAGGAAAAACGTCCCGTTTCAAAATCTACCATATGAGTGATAACAGCATCAGGTAGGTAACTGCTTGGACCTGCAGTAGAAGTTAATCGTAGTAGGACGATACCGGTGTGCATTTATCGATAGGATGATTAAGATTATCACTTCACTGTACAGATCCCTTGGGAAGACAGCGACAGACCAAGGGGAAATCTCCGACAACCTCATGCTAAGGATAAAAAGCTTTTATTTGGCCGTTTTATTACATCCCAACAACCGGGGACCACTAGAACCCTACTATATAGTGATGACACCGATAGGAAGAACTGATGTTAGGAAATAGCAAAATACATTAGTGGATGGATGATATGCGTCCAGATGAAACAGTTTATTACTTCATGGCAAGAAAGAATTCATTATACATCTATTATCTGAATCTAGATAGGTCACAACAGTGTAGATAGGTTGTTATTCCGGAACCACGACGGATACGTTAGCGCGTAACCCCAACTGCAGGCGTCAATGGGCATTTTTCACTCACTTTTCCTCTTAACAGTGAATATTCTATGAACGATGCATAGCTTACCTTCCACTCCCGCATACAAGGAAAAAATACAAAACAAAAACATCAATCCAAAACCTGCCATATAATTGCATCAGTTCAACCTGCCAAAATTTACAACAGCATCCAAAGAAGCAGACATAAAAGGAACTAAATCAAAGTAGATGAAATTGCATGAAGAGAGAGGAAATAAATCAAAGTTAATTACAATGTTGAAGACTTCGAAGATGACTAGGGGTGCACAAGTCTGTACCACTATGCCCTATTCTGAAACATATGACCAACCATTGATTACTATCGTTACAACGAGCCTAGAAAGGTAACCAAGTCAAACTTAGTAAGCCAGTGCCACTATGTTTTGGCTACCCCTAGCCTTTTTTCAACTCACTCTGGATTCGGATAGCATCGAGGTCGGCAGTGGCTCAACACAGATTCAAACAACTTTAGTAGGCGAAGATTAACAACCTCGGCGACCATGTCTTCTTTGCTTAGTACTAAATGCTTAACCTCAAAACTCCTCACATGATAAACCCCACCATGCAAGCAATGCCGTAAAAATCGGGGTGGTCCAAAACATAAAAATTTGCCATATCCTCCAATCCCATAATTAATGTCTCATAACTGGACAGAGCAAACTGCTTCACAGTATACTTGTCCTTTGGTATGTATTATGATACATTAGCGGTGCTAGATATGGTCAGGAAAGCTTTTGATATTCCAGCTGACGTCTTGTCAACAACCAGCCCAGTTAGGGCCGATGCAACTTTTATGTAGTGATTAACGCATTCCACCACTTTAGTCCCTATTCTTGAAGTGGAAGTGAATGGATCCCAATCTTGAAGCATCGCTGTACATTTGGTAAACGTAAAACATATGCTAAATATGTTCAGTTTTCGTTTAATGTGCTCGGAAAAGTATGTATGTATCAGAGTCCTTGCCTGATACGACGTCATTTACACAGTGAGTTGACAAAATGCCTTCCATCTTTGAAAAGCGATAGGTATGCAGAAGTATCAGTAAATTTAAGATAGATATCAATGGACGTATCCATTAAACAATGGGTTGTCAATAGAGTAGAGATTTTAAAAAGCCAATGAAAAATACACAATAGGTAACAATGAGCGCACCGTCCCCAACGTGATTTCACTTTATGTGTAGTGAAAGATCCTTATACTACTTCCTTAGAATAAGAAGGAGTAAGTCTTAAGTATGGAATGACTACATCGAAGATGCAATAAAGCTGCATTCATTCATCTCAAAATACTTCAATGAATCAAAAACAAGTTGCATTACAAAAGCCAGCTATTCCTCACTCATGTACATTTAAACGATGAAAGGAATGACAATCACAACCTTATGGATAAGTACAATAAAGTCGCGGTGATTCTTCTTCAATAAAACAAGCATCTAGTTCGAGTTGCCATAGAAAATTAGGATACCAACTTCAGTGCGGACTCAGTTACAACAAATGAACCGGAATATAACCTCATTTATGTACTGTTTGAAAATATAATTCCTATAAGTAGTGAGATGAGTATCCCGATGAAGCTGAATCACATGCCGAAGTCCTCAGAAAAGCCTTTTTCTAGTTTGCTTTATTTTAACAGTGAGATTAAATAATCAAATAATAGTTAGAATCCAACTAGAACCTCAGCGATACCCATTAGCACTTTAAGGACCGGTGCCAACTCACACCTAAGTGCACAAGCAATAGAAGCCAAAGAAACTTATAATTTTGAAATGTAGGATACATTATACTGATGAACATCAATGTAGATGTAGTCATTTAATTAAGATCATCTGCAACTGACTTAATTAAGTCAAAAAAAATCAGGGCGAAAAGAAAATGTTTGGGATACATTTATTAGAACTTGGTAGATAATGTTACATATGTTAGTAATTCACATATACATACCCCTATAGAGGCATATCTCAAAGTTATGGGGCTAAGAAATATATATTTTATGCTTTTGAGGCTGATGCCTGCGCTTTAGCTTGTTGTTTGGCTCGTAGTGCTTCAGCATCCCTGTAGATTAAAGTGCCTCTTTTAAGAACATTCATACCTTAGTCGTCTCTCCTCTAAAGTTAGTCCTTTATTTGCTTCTTTCTCGCTACTACTCTTTGATTTTTGAAGAGAACTCAGTTTCTTCATATGTTTTTCCCTAGCCAAATCCCTCTGATTTCCACCTGCACAATAAAAAAATTTATTTCGAGAAACAACTACTCACGCGTCATCCCTGCGATATTTTGGAACCAGACCGAAGGTAACACAGGAACGATGTGACCTTGAGCTACTGAAGCTCAGTTGCGCTCCAATATTCAATGTCCAATACCATTTGACGAGCTAGTGTAAACCCATTGATTTCTTCGCGCTCGCTCCTTGGTCTTTGATGAATTCCAGTGCAGCAGGTCTAACCACTCGACTGCTGTAGCTCTGGTTAGCCTGACGGGCGGTTGGGTGTTGGTTAGATTTGTAGGCAGTGTTGTTTGTTCGGTTGCTTTTTCTTCCGAGGACTGTGGTGCAGGTAAGCTCCTCAAATGTCGTGCCAGCAGACAATTGACTGGACTGGTTGCAAAAAGGAGATGCAAAATATGTGCAGAGAAATCAAGGGAGAGAAAGTGGAGAGAGAGAAACAAAATAGAAAAGGAAAGGGAAAGAAGGAAGAAAAGGAATAGATAAAAAAGATTAGGAAAACGGAAGCGACACAGAAGAAAAAACACTGGTAGGCTTGTAGCTTCACACACTTCCCCAAAATCAATAGCCTAGGGTTTGACTACTTCGACATTGATACTGACCTTGATAGTTTAACTGACTCGCGAAGCTGAAGGAACCCGGTCAAACATCCTCGCCATCTGGCACGCTGTCGTGTTA